TCAAGGGGAGGTAAAGGGGCCAAGAAACCCTCTTGGCTGAACAGGGAAATCCAAGAAAGCCTAGGGGTGAAAAAAAAGGCATACAAACTGTGGAAGCAGGGGATAGCCACCGAAAAGGAATATACCTACTTGGCTCGTACTTGCAGGGAGTCAGTTAGAAAGGCCAAAGCATCAATGGAACTCAGGCTAGCAACACAAATTACAGAAAACAAAAAGTCCTTCTTTAGGTAGATAGGAAGCAAAAACAAGGTGCATGGCAACACAGGACCCCTACAGGACAGACCAGGGCATTTGGTGACAGATAGGAGGAACAAAGCTGAGCTCTTGAATGAGTTTTTTGCATCTGTATTCCTGAACATGGATAAGGACATCTCTCCTATTTGGACTATAGACAGGCACAAGGGGGACATCAGGTAAGGTCCTATGAGAAGAAATTGAGGGACCTGGGCCTCTTCAGCCTCCACAAGAGAAGGCTGAGAGGTGATCTTGTGTCTGCCTATAAATCATTGGCGGGGGGGTGGGAGGAGCAAGGAATAGAAGATACTGTTTACCAGAGTGCCCCTTGAGGTAACTAGAAACATTGTCCACAAACTGACAGAGAGCAGATTTAAATTAGATATCAGGAAGAACTTCTTTACGGTAAGGGTGACCAGAATCTGGAATGGGCTTCCAAGGGAGGTGGTGCTCTCCCCTACCTTGGAGGTCTTTAAGAGGAGACTAGACAAGCACCTAGCTGGGGTCATCTGACCCCAGCGCTCTTTCCTGCCTAGGGCAGGGGGGTCACATTCAATGATCTACTGAGGTCCCTTCTGACCCTAGAAATCTATGAAATTAAATTTCTCCCAGAAGCAACATGTGCTCAGCAACAGAAACTAAGTATGAAGTTGGTTAAATGCAACCAGCACTGAGCATGACTATAAAACACACAGTCCATGTTGGGTTAACATGCAGATGGAAACCATTTTTTTTTGGCTCTTAAAAAAAAGAGCAGGTGTTCCCTCTAGAAGGAACTGGCACCAGGCCTGGAGGTACTGCAATACCAGCCTGGCACCATCCCCTTGGTGCTCCTTTCCTCCAAGAATTTGTCCAATCCATTTTTGAATATGGCTAACCTGTCAGCTTCCACAACATCTGAGCTAGGGGCAGAAGTTACACATAAACTGGTTTAAGCAATCAGAAACTGGTTTAAACCTGTAATAGAACACAAGGTCAGTGCACATAAACCAGTTTCAAAATGGCTGAAACTGGTTTAAGATCAACCTGGCTGAATACAGTAGCAGACTTAACTGATCTGGGTCAAACCGGTTTATGAAACTCCTGTTCCAGACCCCTTCCTGGTTCAAGTTAAATCACAGTCCCCCAGCATCCCAGCATGCTTTGCAGCCCTGGGCTGGGCTGTGCTCTCTGCTCCAAAGAGCAGGGCTGGCCCCACCCCTCTGCTCCCTAGCTGAAGCCGTGAGGGCTGACTGACAAGGGTGTGGGGGCGCAAGCCTAGTTGGGGATTCAGTCCAGTCTGCACCAAGGGGACTAAACACCCCCCAGGCAAACCCCAGCTGGGGTCTGGGGCCAGGAAGGGAGGTTAAACACCTCTTGCCCTGCTCAAACTTACTGCTGGCTGCAACTGTGGACTACAAATACCAGAGACACCTGGAAGCAGGAAGAAGAAGTTATGAGCAACCCTGCAGAGTCCTGCTGCTTTAAGTCTGGACTGCAAATCCCAGAAACCTTGGGGGCAGCAGGAAGAAGTAGTAAACACAGCCAGAGAGCCATGTTCTAGCACCCCCTGGCTTCTGGCCTTAGCCACTGCAGGCATGTAGCTGAATTACCTGAATCAAAGGTAAATGACTGCTCACTTCTGTTTCAATTTAATCTGTGCAGTTTAGACTAAACTGCAAAGACTGAATCGATTCAGCCTCAGGCTCTTTGACTGTCTGTAACTAGCCCTGGTGGCAATGAGTTCCACACTTTAATTACACGCTTTGTAAAACAGAACTTCCCCTTGTTAGTTTTAAAATTACTACCTACTAGTTTCATTTTGTAACCCCTAGTTCTTGTATTGTGAGAGATAGTAAATAATGAATCCCTATTTACTTTCTCTTTGGCACTTAGTATTTTGTAAACCCTTATGTCCATCCTCCTCAAATGTCTTTTTCTAAACTCAATAGGCCAAGCCTTTTTAGTCTCTCCTTATACGGAAGCACCTCCATACAAGGAACTGGCACCATCTTTGCACCCCTTATCTGTAAATTCTCTAGTGCTTCTACATCCTTTTTGAGGTGTGAGGACCAGAACTGGGGACATTATTCAAGGTATGGATGCATCATGAATTTATAAAAAGGGGCATAACTATATTTCAGTTTTGATTACAATTCACTTCTTAATCCCCAACATTTTGTTTGCCTTTTTACAGCTGCTGAGCACTGAGCTGATTTTAGCAAACTGTCTACAATGACTCCCAGAACTTTCCTTTGTGGCAACAATTAATGTAGAGCCCATCATAGTGTAGGTATAGTTTGGGGTTATTTTTGCTCAGGTGCATCACTTTACACTTATCTACACTGAATTTCATCTGCCATTTAGTTGCCCATTTGCTCAATAACACCAGTGGTTTGTTAAATCACTGCACCAAACATCTGGTATTGTACATTTTGGGAAAGAAAAGATGATGTCAACCCAAAGGAAACAAACATTCAAAGAAGTTGGAAAGCAGGGGTTGGGATTGGTTATGGTATGCCTGGGGCCCTGGTATCTTTAAGTTTTTGCGGAAATAAGTAGTGCCAAGCTGATAAGGGTGTAAAAGTTGAAGAAGGTTCTTAATTTATATCTGTCCAAAACAGCAGTAACTATCAAGCACCAGGAACAAATATTTGTTCAACCAGCTCTACAACTGTACAGTAATAGAGATTATAATACTCTCACAAAAGCTTAGTTCCCATTACAACCAGGCTGTTTGACTGCTTGGATTTCAGGAGCTGTCTGTTTCTTTGTTTCCTTCCTTGGACTCTTGAGGGAAAAAATCCTCTCTTTCTAAAGGCATCTCCTGTTAGAGGAGTTTCAGGGACTACAGTATCTTTGATGCCTTCAGTATGGTCCACATCATCCTGAGGTTTAGTAGTGGCCACCCTGGCAAAAGTTCTATCCAGCCGTGCAAAGACAATTATGCCACTGCCAAGTCTTGTGTCAGTACTTTTTTTTTTTTTTTTTTTTTTTTTTTTTTTTTTTTTTTTTTAATTCTGTCAAAGCAATTTCCTTTTGCTCCAGCATTGAACGGTGTCCTGGGAGCAGCACTGAGTAGCATCCTAAAACAGATGCCTGCTTATCCTCACATTAAAGTGACTGCTACTAAGGAAATTTCCTGCCCAGCAACTGAAAGGAAATGCAGGACCTCTGCTTAGTTCCATGTACATGCACAAGACCTGGCTGCTTTGACACTGCTAGAATGCTAATTCAAGTAAATGATTCCAGGCAGGCTTAACTGCAAATGTAGCATTGCTGCCAGTATCTGAATGAGGAGATGATATCTAGTCAACTGAACCCCAGAGAAGTAAAGAGCTAACAAGTAAACAGCAGGTAATTCCTAGTGAGCGTGTCTACGTGTGCAATTAATGAGACTGAATAAACTCTGGAGCAATCTACGCCAGAGTAAACTACTCCTGGGTGCAGCATCTACACATGCACCCAGGTTAGCAGCAACCAGGGTTTAAACCAGGGAGCAGTTCAGACCAGGGCTGCTGCTGCCCCCTACAGCAGCCAGCAGGAGGTCCAGGCTCTGGCCACAGCTGCCTAAGTGCCAACCCCAATCTTTAAAAGGCTGCCCTGCACTTTGTTCCCTGGCCACACATTTCTCTGGCCCTGAGCAATCGGCAGCCCACTGACACAGCCTTCCAGGATGCAGTCCCAAGAGCCTGTGCCCAGCATGTCACGGACGCTCCTTCCCTCCTCCCAGCAGCGGAAGCCAACACCATGGCCTTCTACTCACCACCACACTAGCCATTCTCCAGAACCAAAATGATGGCCACCTGGCCCTGATGGCTCTCAACTCTGTCCTCCCCACTCTGTCCCTGGCCCAGCCCATGGTCCAACACACCCGCCAACCTGGACTACCTGCCATTAGCCTACCTCCTAGACCCTGGCAGCAATGCCAAAAATGGCCACATGGTTGCCAATGGAGCTGGCATCCACAAGCTCATGGTGCCCTGGCCCTGCTACTTCTGGGCCTCCCCACCAGCCAGGACTGGTGGCACCACATCATCCTGCACACCTGAGACAATGACCAGTAGCTTGGCTCTTTCCATGCGACCTGGCCTACACTCCATGAGCTAGTCCAGCATCTCAGCCCAAACCTGGAGCACTAGCCCACCAACATGTGCCAATGACTCCCCGCAGAGATCCACGTGGCCATCACCATGCTGAAGCTCTCCATGCCTGCCAGCCTGTACAACATCTCCTACCTGTTTGGGATGGCCAAAGCAACCACCAGGGAGGCTATCCTTGATGTCTATGGTGCCTTCCAGTACATGCTGGCCAACACCGTGGTCTGGGTTACTGAACCCCTTTGCGATGATGGCAGGCTTCTGAGCACTCTGCTTCCCCCAGGGCACTGGGGCCCTTGATGGGACACACATCCCCGTCACCTGTCCTCCCCATGTGGGCTGCCCCTACTACGCTGCCCTTTCTACTGCATCATGCTGCAGGCTGTGTTGGACCGCCAGGGGGCCTTCATGAACATCTACGTCAGCAGGACTGGCAGCACAACCGATGCCCAGATTTTCTGCAACTCCCCCCTGGCAGCCCTGGTGGAGAGTGGCCACTTTCGGAACTCCACCCTGGCAGCCCTGGTGGAGAGTGGCCACTTCACACCAACAGTTCCAGACCTGCAGCTGGGTGATGTGACCATCCTGCCCCATCTCATTTGGAACTCCATGTACCCACCGCTGCTGTGGCTCATGCATCCCTACACTGGCCACCTCAACCAAAGCCACGTGCGCTTCAACTGGTACCTGGCCCAGAGCTCCTTCAGGAGCCTCAAGGGATGCTGGTGCACCTTCACAGCCCACCTGAAGTTCACCGAGCCATCATCACAGCCTGCACATCATCTGTAAGGCCCAGGGAGAACTCTTCTATGAGACCTGGGTGGAGGAAGCATGACAAGGACTTTTGGCAGCAGGAGTGCGAGTTGTGGTGCCAGTGCGGATGGGCTAGCTCCCCTGAAGACCTGGGTGAGCCACACACCCAGCAGCGGCAGCCAGGACACGGTGTCCACAATGTGCTCACAGACCACCTCCTCCACCAACCCCCACAGTAGGGTGCCTAGGCAACTGCCTACACACCCCAAGTCCACAGTGCAACCCCAAGAACATGCACACTGCAGACAGTTGTCAAACCCTAAACTTTATTTCCCTCCCCAGAACAACAGATGCCCCCTACCCTCCCAACAACAGATACCCCTCTCACTATCCCCAACACACCCCACCAATAAAGCACCCTCATCTCCGTGAAACTACATACGGTGTTTATTGACAAGCATCAGAGGAGGAACAGTGGGAAGGAGGAACTTACGGCGTAGGGCCTGGAGGGAACTGCCTAGCACCCTGCCCTTCATGGACACTATCTTGGGTCTAGATGCTGTGGCAAGGCCGGCAAGCCAGGGGCTGGCACAGGACCAGGTTGGGCACTGTCCAGTCCATTCAGTCCACTCCCCTTCCTCCTCCATGGGGCTGGGGCCAGCAGACCCCATATAGGGAACTAGTCCCACCATGGGCACCTCCTACTCAGAGGCCACATGAAGCTGGGGCAGGTGGTGGACAGTGGGTGGCCAAGGCGCTGGGGGGCTAGGATCTGGAGCAGGGCTGGGTGCCCTGCCTACTGCAGGTGGCACAGCACCTTCTGCCATGCCCACTGGGAAGCCTGCAGCAGGCCCACAGGTGGCTGCCAGGGGAAGGCCAGGGCCTGGATGCCAGGCATGGCAACACACTGCCAGGGCCGGCACCGTACTAAGAACACACTAATTCTCCTCACTGATGGCTGCTGCCCAGCACACCACCTTATACTGCTACTCCTGTGTCTCGACCAGCCTCTGCAGGAGGGCGAGGTATACCCTGCGGTCCTGTGGTCCACCTAGTCCATCTCACAGAGCTCTCAGCACCAGGTCCAACTCTCTTCCCTCAAGGAAGACTGTCTGATCCTGGCTCTGGCACTAATAGAGTCGGTGCATGTGAGGAACACACCTGCAGAGGCTGAAGTCATCCTTGGGGGCCCAACTCCTGTACTGCCAGGTGGTTCTGCCCTGCATCCAGCAGCTGGTTCTGCAGAGCAAGGACAGAGAGGGGCATTGTGAGAGTTTGCAAAATCTCAAAGATAACCCACACTGTCCATAGGAGTTGTGTGTTACCCACCCTCGGTTTAGGGGTCATGCACAGACAGGCACCCAGGGGCCATGGTAAGTTGCCCAGGCAGCCCCTTCAATGGGTGGCCACCAGAACAGCCTTTCCTCCCTGATTCCACAGTGGGAGCGGGGAAGCCACTTGCCACAGGCAGCCTGCCACCCAGGCTGAGCCATGGCTGGCCCCTCCCAGCAGCTGCCACAGTGGCTCCAAAGTGATTCTTCCCGCCTCCATCCCCGCACAACTTCTGCTCCCTATAGGCTAGACACTTTGCTCCCATGCTGCCAGGCCTGTGGCATCCTTGTTCTGGGTCATGGGCTCCTGGCCAGCTAGGATGCAGACTTGCTAATGGCCCTCTCCTCTCCCCTCCCCCAGACAGGCTTCTCTGGAGAGGCACCCCAGGCCAGGGGCCCCACTGCACACAGGATGCCCCAAGCTTGCCCCTAGTCAGAATTGCCCAGGCACACTGCAACAAGTTATTTGAGCACTCTGAGGGCTGCCCAATCCACTATGCCCTGCTGCTGCTGATTGCAATGTTTCTCGCAAAGGGGCAACTGAGAACCTGGCACAGGGTCCTGAGCTTCAATGGCGCCCCAAGACAAGTCCAAACTTCCCCGTAACGTGTGCCACCTGGAGGGATATCTCTGCCTACCCCTGCAGCCAAGGAGATTGCTGCTGCTATCAACGAGTCTCTCCACATGTGACAGGCTACTGGCTGCCTAGCTGGGATACAGGTGCATGCTCAAAAAAATTCTGAACTGCCTCCCTGCATGTTTGGGGGAGGGAAACTCTGGCAGATGGAGTGGGGTGGGGGAGCTCAGCCATGCAGGACAAGGAGGGAAGGGAAGGGCCCCGAACCTCCCATGAGGGGCCCGTAGCTCCAGGCATGCAGCCTGGGGATGGGTTGGTGACCTGGCACGGGCACAGGTGGCTGTGGTGTCTCCTCCCCCCCACCCCTCCTCCCTGTGTGCAGCTTACCCGGCAGGTGTGGTAACCACTTCCAGTGGTTGGATAATATCCCCTAGCCATAGAGATCAGGTCCAGCTAGCCAATGTGTCCCAGGGTGCCTAAGTGCAGCACTTGGCCACTCAGGCAATGGCCCCCTACAGTGACAAGCTGGAGCTGGTGTCAGCAGGGCACATCCCCTGTGATGCAATGCCATATGGGACAGAGGTGGGAAGACTCAAGTTTGTCCAGTAGGACTAAGCTAATGCAGATGCTTGCATAAAAACCTTATTTTACAGTCATCCAGAAATTAATTCAATCTGTTCTCAAACTGGATTAACCAATTCACAAGAAGTGCTTATGAATGTAGGGCACTTTAATTCAAAACACAGACACACACACACATTTAGACAAGCTGTATTAGGGGAGAAGGGAATTCCAAATTAAAGTACATGAATAAAAGAGTCTACTGAAACTTATTTAATTAGCAGGGGTTGGTTTTTCACCCAAACTTCTTAAGGGTTTGCTTCAATAAGGAGACTCAATTAATTGTGGATTAAGAAACATTTCTTAGCTTTTCCAGGATACCCATTCCACTGGTGGCCTAGCCCCTTGCAAAACTATAAAGTGAATAATATCTGCTATCCTCCAAAATAGCAGAGACCAAATCTGTACACAGGCATAATTGTTAAAAGGCTAGATCAAAAAATAGTGCTAGCATTTTGCTATAAATGCAGCACAAATCTTCTGTTCTTATCTTTTCCATTTGTCCTGGATGAAAGTTTCACATTCATGGGCCAGTTTCTAAGAGAACCGTATTGCCTGTATATGAGCTTGACTGTCCCACTTTTTAAAGTGAAATACACCAGTGATGACGAATAATGATCATGCAAAGTGATCCCATAGTCCAGAAAGAATCGAAAGGTAAAACCCTAAGCAAAATGCATTTGGAAAAAAGTGGGGGGAAAAAAGCCAAGACAGTAGAAGACAAAGCTTTATCCAGTATATGAAAAATTATGCTTCCATGGGCATTACTAAGAGCTTTGTACACAAATCTTTGCACTGCAAAAAGCAGGCTACTTTATTTTATACCTCTTACATTATAGTCCTTTTTCCTTCCCACTTCACATACCCACATTTTCTCCTCTTCCACATTCACTGGAATCTATTAAATCATCCTCCTTTGCTTCCAACTTTCTCATTTGATGTTTTCCTTTCCATCCCTACCCCTATCTGTTACTTTTTTAATGTCCTTGCCACCAGGAACACCCAACACCACACCACAAGGACTCTTCATTCAGTTTATAAAATGAAATGAATGACACAAGCAATCTTCTATTGAAGCTAATAGCACTTCCCTAAGGGCAAAGGGGAGGGGGGGTGTAAATCACCTTTTCAGAACCAAATTTGCAGCAATTAATAAGAAAGTTTAATGGCCAATACTATAATTTAATAGTTACAAAAGATAGCTGTTAAAATATAGCATCACATATTAAAACGTCTTATTAGTCTCTGCAAATTTACTAACCAAAAAGATGATTGCTAAGGTGCGAGTTTTTACTGCTTTGTTCCTACTCCATTAGCTAAAAACACATGGAATAATGGGAATATGTGCTGCAAAAGGACTGTGTGGGACATCTCTTCCAAAAATTACTTGCATGCCATCAGTATACCACAGTTCTTTCCTGCTTTCTTTCCAGTATATTAGAAGATATACTCCCAATTCAGGAAGTTATACTGTGGGTTCTTTGTCTAAAAGACTGAATACTCATAATTAAGGAGTCGGACTTGTAAATTTCATTCGCTTCAATGGATCCATTTCCATACTTAAAACACATGTATAAATGCTTTCAGGTCCATGACCTAATCACTCTTGGAAGGACCTTGTGTAGTCCTACAGGAAGTTAGACTACAGGAAGTCTTTTTAATATTTAAGATAGAACTTCAAGGGAAAATAAACAAAAATAAATAAATAAAATTATAGAGCCCCAGTAATAACAACAAATGTAGTACTAGAAATTGGTCATTAAAACTATAACATATTATTAAATGCATAGAATTTAGGGGAATATTCCTATAGATTTAAAAAAAATATTTTAATTACAGTTTATTTAAATTCCTTCATGTTGAATATACATTACAACTGAAAATAGCTAACAAATTACCAACTTAAGAAATATGCATCAAAAGATGCTTACCATCTCTGTTTAATGACCCATATTCAATGACATTTAGGGCAATGTTTTTGTTAACTCATTTTCAAGCAGAAGATTCATTAAAATAATAATCTTTTAATTATGCACATTAGTAAGTTTTCAGAAATATTAAATAGATGCACAGAAGATGTATATTCTGTGTCCAAGCATGAACACTCGCATCAAGGCCCCTACTTCTTGAATACTGGGAAGTAAAAATACACATTATGGGCAGAACCCAAAGAACACTGAAGTCGGTGGGAGTTGCCAATTGGAGTCTTTCTATGAATTTTACCAGATTGTGAACTACACCCCACATCCTTAGGTGCAAGATCAAATTTACATCTTAGTTCTTGGGCACTTTAGATGGAGGCAGTGGCCAAAAAAAATCTTTTCTTCATTACTATTTGGCAGGATTTCACCTGTTCCTCTCAGTGGCAGACCTGACCACAGCAATCCATTCTTTTAATCACTTCCACAGTGAACTACCATAATGTTTTCTACTTACAGCTAACAGTGGAAGATACAGCTCATAAAATGTGTAGCCATATGTCTCCAAAATGGAGCCAGCAGATGAGAGGTAGGAGAAAAATACGATCATACTAGTGCTGCTTGCATTAAGCTAGCTCTGCATCCAGTAATGGATGCAGTTTTAGGGCTCAAGTCTCCTTGCCTTAAAAAAGAAACAGCCTACTTTGTCTTCATGCTGATCTAAGAATACCATCATTAACAAGAAAAAAATGTAGCTTAGTGTATTTCTGCTGCTTAGCTGAGGCATGTCTACTCCAGAAGTCAGGAGGAATGAGCACATGTATTCCATTCTTCAATATACAATGAAAGATAACTATTTGCAGAGGTCTTTCTGCAGCAGAAAAAGCAGCAACATCTTCCCTGACAGATTCTCTTCCTTCTGCAACAGGTCTAGGGACAGCAGAAAACATAGTCCTTCCAGGACACAAGGACAGACTTTAGTTCTCATACACAATATTCAGACACTGCACTGACTGGCATAATAAAAAAAAACAAACCTCACAGAAAGAGACCTCAGCTGCTGCAAAAATGCATAGGACAGAGGCAGTCTGAGGTATTTATAGCCTGAACCATATGTACAGCTGCAATGTTCAGTACAATGTGTCTTGAAAAGAAATAAGAAAAATATGAGGATAGTAAAACCTATTGTTCACTATCACAAATGTGTTCCTTACAACCTATCCCACTATTTAATTACTTAACTGGCTTGTCATATTCTACATCAGCTGAAGCTTCCAATTGGACTAAGAGAGCCCCACTAACCACCTATTGCAGCAAAACAATCTGGACACGACAGTAAAAACGTAGTTCTGGCAAAGACCTCCTCCAAAGGAAACAGTCAATCATTGCAAAATCAGAAATGAAAAGAGCCACTGTATTATCAGACCCACCTACAACTAAGATGGACCCAAAAAGCACTCCTGGAACACCTACCCCTTAAATAAAGGGTGTCAAACTTCTCAAATGATGGGAATGGTGGGTACAAAAGCAGAGAAGCTATCTGTAAAATCCTTCACTTGGTTCTACAAACTAAACATCAACATTTTCCCTATGAGGAGAGATTTTGGGATCTGGGACTGTTCAACCTGAGCAAAAGGCGGCTAAGAGGCGACTTGATAGTTGCCTACAAATATGTCAAGAACACCAGGCCCTAGGTGAACAACTTCAGAAAAGACCTCCCCCCTCCAGGGAAGACACGGATCAATGGACACAAGCCAGTAGAGGAAAAGTTTCAGCTGCACATAAGAAAAAAATGTC